CGCGGAGGGCGTGGTTTGCCGTGAGGGGCCGTGAGGGGCCGTGAGGGGCCGTGAGGGGCCGTGAGGGGCCGTGAGGGGCCGTGAGGGGCCGTGAGGGGCCGTGAGGGGCCGTGAGGGCGGGAGCCGCTCGGAGGGGTCGCGGGGAGGTGGGGAACGAGCAGGATGCTCCACGCAGAGAGTCCCGGCAAGGGGAGAGCCCGCGGGGCCAAGATTCCCCAGCTGGAGCGTCTCCAGGCTGGAGAGCTCAGGGACACCACAGGTTCTTGAGGGGCAGGAGCCCGTCAGAGCTCGGGTGCTGTGGCAGCACAGGAGACACGGCTGAGGAGGGGCCTCAAAAGCCCCAAAATGCCTCCAAGCGCCATAGAGAGAGACTCTGGACAAGGGCCTGAAGTGAGTGGACACAGGGAACGGCTTCACACTGCCAGAGAGTGGATTTTGATTAAAGAAAGAAATTTTGTCCTGTAAGGGTGGTGAGGCCCTGGCACAGCATGCCCAGAGCAGCTGTGGCTGCCCAGTCCCTGGAAGTGTCCAAGGCCAGCTTGGACAGGGCTTGGAGCAGCCTGGGACACTGGGATGTGTCCCTGTCTGTGGGTGACGTTTAAGTTCTCCTCCAGCCCAGCCCAGTGTGTGATTTATGTTTACAGGTGTCCAGCACTGCCCGGATCCCTCAGGGTGACGCACTGGCCCCGGCTCAGGTTTCCAGACAGTGGCACCTGGTCAGGAGCGGGTGACCTGCTCTGGGAATGCGCCTGACTTCTGTGACAACATCATCATCCACATACCAAAAGAATGAAACAATGACTGAAAACATTCACACAGTGCCTGTGAGCAGATTTGCACAGATAGGGGCTTTATTTCACAAGAAAAAGTTGTGACTCAAATTTGATCTTACCAAAGGAGCCTCTGTTAATTTATCAGGTGTAAATTCCCTGTATCAGCTTTGAATATTAATTTCAGAGAAGTAAAATAATAAAGGAGGTGGGCAAAGTATACCCAGGAGTAAACTGCTGCCAGTTTCTATCAGCAGGGAAGTTTCTGCTCAGTGCAGAGGAGCTCTGTCTGTTTAATTCTGACCATCATCCAAGCAGCTTCCCCAGGAAAAACTGTAGAGTTGGGTTAATTTATTAACCCAAAAAAAAAGCCAAAAGGTGGAGAAGCCAAATTTTGTAACTGCTTGAGGAAATTTCAATGAGGCTCACATTTCTGAGTGCAGCAGAGTTCTATGGAAACTTAAATTTTGCTTCTGTGTAGAGCAAAAAACCTGGGAAATTCACTACGAATCTTTTTTTCTTTCGCGTATTTCCCTTATAAGTAGTAACACAGTCATCTAACCAAGGTGTTACAGTCACTCTTTAAAAGGTTCAATGCAAATTAATTGAAAACGGGTAATTATTACCTTAGTTTGTTGCAAAGGTTGTTGCCAGGTAGTTGCCACACACAGTTGTGGCCTCTACAGCCTTTCCTCCCCATCTGGGGTAGAATTTCAACATCACAGCAAAACTTTATGAACTGAAGTTACTTCCCACATCCACAGAAATAAATTTTTGCAGGATCCAATTTGGACAGGCTGTTACTTTCATCTCCTAAGGCAGCGCTGTGTTCCCAGCATGGATGAAAGGGAATATTTTCAGGAATAAAATCCCCTGGGATTTTTGTAACCATGGTAACACATATAGATAGCAGGCCTGGTTCCAACCCGTGTTTTATTATTCCAGCAGTAAAGAACTGGATTCTATAAATAACCATCCTGGCCACTGGAATAAAGTACTGCTCTTTTGCTTTCCCATCAAAATAATTTTTTTTTTAATTATTATATTCCTACAGTTAAAACATTCAGGATAAAGTGCCAAGATCAGTTCTGTGATCAATCTAAGTGGGAAGTCTTGTTTCCTAAGCCACAGTGAGTGAGAAAGGGAAGAGTATTCAGGTATTTAATGAATACCAGATAAATATGAATATTTTTGTAATAATAAATTCATATTTCACTGCTGAATAAATAACAGAACTTAAGCTTAAAATAAAAATTAAATAAAAAACATCCCCATCAAATTTTCATGTGTTTTATTGAGGTGAACATACACATGGTCCACATAGTCAATGAAAATAGTCATAAAATAATTTAAGAACTTGTGTTGAAAGGTAGTAGCAGCACCATCGGTATTGGAATAGCAGAAAACACATTCCAGGAGGGGAGTGATGCCTGGATAAAATGCCATCATTTGGAACAGGGGATGGGAATGGCTTTGTTGGATGCTCTGGGGAGTTGGAGTTTTTAAAACACACTTTTTTTGCTAAATATTTTTGACGATTATTGTTACAAAAAATACAACTAAATAAGATACTGCATAGTATTTTAATTAACATAAAATCGACACTGAGGTGTGTAAAGCAAGACTCAAATCTCTGCTTCCACATACATTTCATTTCTGAGTAGAGAAATCTAAAATTTAAAACCAAAATATAGACCTAGTGTATTCTCTAAAAGACACACCTTAGGTGGAACGTATCAGACTACGAAAATACATATCTTCCATTCTGTTTAATAATTTACTTTAGTTAAAAAGTTGTGAAATTCTCCTCACGAGAAGCGTATACAAATTGATGACTTTAGTAAATTAACAAAAAGGATTATTTTACTTTTTGTTTTTGTTTTGCTTTTTTTTTTTAAAACAAGGCTTAGCCCCACCCTAACAATTATACAAGGAAGAAAAGAGACTACATTTATATGAAGGAATACAAATTTACACACATTTTACAGTGACTTATACCCTACACATCTACAAAATTCACAGTTATAATACAAGCAAGTACAAGGCTGGGATAAAGCTGTCGGATACCAAAAAAGTTCCTACTTTAAAAAAAGATCAACGGGAAGAGCTTCCAACAGGCGCACGGCTGGCGGAGCTCCGCGGGGCAGCAGGGGAGGCTCAGCACACGCACACGGCTTTCCTGGGCGGGTGGAACAGGGAGCTGCTGAGCTTCTTCTGCCCGCGGAGGCTGCGCCGCATGGCCAGCCTGGCCGGGCTCCGGCGCTGCGGGGTGGCGGCTGCGCCCTCGCCCGGGCCCCGGGCCAGCCCCCGCCTCGGCTTCTTCAGCGCCGGGCCCGAGTTGGATTCCTCCAGTGTCCGCTTAAAGCTGCCCGGGGGCGTCCTCTCCGCGTCCCGCGCCTTGCCCTGGCCGTTAGGGGACACCTTCAAGCCTTTTTGGTCCGTGCCTGAGTTGGCCGAGTTGGAAGGGGAGAGGCTGACTGACAAACCATTGCTGTAGGATTCCTGTAGCCTCAAAGCCAGGGCTTTGCTGCACTTCTCCTCCTGGGGGGCCGAATCCTTCGGGGTTCCCCCTGAGGAAGGTAAATTGCTTTTGGCGATCTCGTTTGGCAGCTCCAGGTATTTTTCTGAGAGCATGTTGCTGTGCAGGAGGGGAGGAATGGGCTCGGCAGAGTTCAGTCGTGGCCAGGGGTCATCTTCTACGAGCTGAGGGAAAAGGAAACAAAAATACTTAAGCATAAATATAATTATAGAATCACAGAATGATTTGGGAAGGGACCTTCAAGATCACTTCATTCCAAACTCTGCCATGGGTGCAGACACCTTCCACTATCCCAGCTTACTCCAAGCCCTGTCCCACCCAGCCTTGGACACTTCCAGGGACAGATTTCATCCTATGAGGGTAGAGACAGTGTGTGCTACTTTTAGAATTTCCCTAAACCTTATCAAAGGTAGGAGAACCCTACTCCAAATCAGACTCATCTTCTCTTGAGAGGTGGAAACAATTCTGACTGGGGATGTGAACTGCAGCTGTAGAACACTGAGGGATCTGCAGGCAGTTGCTGGGAATTGAGGGGGAAAGCAGTGCCTGTAACCTGTGCAGCATTTCCAGCTCTCACACAGGACTTCCCTCCATCAGACACCGACAGAGGCACTGCTCTGATTTATGCATGGTCAGTGGCCAAACAGCAGAGAGAGGCTCCTGACCTTTGTCATGTTCAGCACTCTCAGTTACTGCATAACCAGGTTATCAGGGCTGGACAAACTCCTCCTCAGAGCTGCCCACAGACAGGGGCAGTGTCAGACACAGCCATCTGAAAATACTCCTGTTTGCTGGGCAAAGTTACACTTTTTGCTGCCTATGGATCCCTCAGGGCACATCCAGGCCCTGGGGCAGTCAGTGAGGTCCCAAGAACCAGGCACTTCCTAAACTCTGACCCTCACCTCTTCTGCAGCCTTTGAGAAGGGTTTTTGCCTCATTCTCAGTTTTACCAACAGGAAAATGGGGACAATACTTGCTCTCACTATCCACAGGGGGATTATGAAAATTAGTGTTTATGCAGCGCCCTGAAGATAGGAATTCTGACCTTATTAAAGATTTAATTGTGAAGAAGTCCCTGGTTACTTGGCAAGTCCTTCAAAAGGAAATTTCAAGGCCACACTACACACCCTCAGTGGAAGGCACATGGCAGTTATTATTTTAAGAAAATCATGTGCTGGAAACTGAAATGCACACAGTTGAATCAGGCAGGGACACATCTCAGGTGAATAAACAGATGCTTCTGAAGCCATGACCCAACAACTGCAGGTTTAATAAAATGCACTCCAAAAGAAAA